TAATTATGATTATGCTTAGTAATCTAAGAAGTTAATCAGTGTCAGGAGTGAGCAGCAGTCTTGTTAGTTAACGGTCGGGAGTCAAAATGGTGGGAAAGCCAGTAATGGGGTGTGAGCTCGGCTGATGACCGAGAGGAGTGAGGCTGTGTGCTTAAAGGAGCAGTCTGAGGCCTGAAATCTAACCTCCTCCTCTCCATGAGCCACACTTCAACCACGCTGTTGAACTGGAAATTAACTTGATGCTAATTCTCTCTCAGCTTACTCTTTAATAAGCTTATATTTCTGTGTATTTAATTTGAAAGTATATTTTGATAAATAATCTATTAAAGTAAATTGAGTCTGAGAAGAAATGAGTTTGAAATTTCCGAGGTCAGCAATTGGAATTATTGTCACCCTCTGGTTTTTAATTTTTTAGACAGTGTTTAGTTGCCCGTAGCAGCCTTTTATATTCTCTAAACTGGGGTATATTTTATAAGCGTGTGTTCTCTGCCCCTGAATTCCAGTGCAAAACATCATGAATGTCCCTGATTGTGTAAATTGTATAATACATGAGACCCCAAAGATGTTTAACAATCAAATCTAATGATTCCGGTTACCCCAGGCAGCCAAAACTCTCACAGCAGCTGCCAACCATTTATTTTCTGAGATGTCTTTGGCTTTGACAAGCCTGCTGTATGCTCAGGCTGAAATTCCCCACCCTGTACAGGAGGGTCTGGGAGGGTGTCAGGATCCCTCTAACATTCTGGGTGTTATCCAATTCCATGATCCCCTCATGGTTGGGGAATTGTCATCATGCCTCTCCCAACTTTTACCCAGAGAGAAGGACCCTAGACAATGTATTTCACACAAAGGTTAAGGAGGCAAGCTGGTGACTAAGGCCTGCCCCAGAAGGCCTGAGTGGATGCCTAAGGTAGCTGGCTGGGCAGCCCATCCCCGGTACCCTCAAGCATCCTTTCCTAAGCCACAGGCTTATTGGAGAGGAAGCTTTGCTGTGGGAGGAGTAGGGCACTGTAAGTGCTACCTTCCGGCACCTAATCTCCCAGCCAAGCAGAAAAGGTTCAGTCCCTGAGCTGCCACTACCCCACTCAGTACTCCCACCCTGCGTATGGCTTTCTCTCTGCAGGCCACTCCCTCTCCTGCCTTGGCCCCTGAACACTTAGCCACCCCCTCCTCAGTCTTGTATGGGGGATCCAAAAAAGAGCCTAGATAGAGTGAGCTAGGATGATGTCACTGCACTCTAGCCCAGGTGACAGAGCAAGACCCTGTCACTCCCCCAGAAGAAGAAGCCTACAGTACTTTCATGTTGTTGCAACTGATCAACAACATAGAAAATACAAGACCTGCTACCCACCACGAAACGGATGAGATGGCCTAGGAGCAGCGTCTGGTACAAGAGCGACTCACAAAGCCAAAAGCTTTCCTGTATGCGAGGCCAGGCCCGGGTGGGCATACTGGCAAAAGCTCTCCTTTACATGAAAATAGCCATGTATGTGACATAATAGGAAAAAAATCCTGTTTATATCAACAAATCTATATAATACCTATATGTAAGATCAACAAAAATTTTCCAAGAGCCACGTGGAAAAAAATCTAAAACTCAACTGAAGGACATAAAATTGACTTTATTAAAAGAAAACACCCGCCATGTACCTGACAGAAATACTCTTTATTATGAAGAAGTAAGTTCTTCCCAACTTGACTTTGACCTTGTGTCATACAAGCTCAAGTCTCAAGGGATTATCATGGAGCTTAAAATTTGATTCTAAAATTCATCTGAAAGAGGAAATAGACAGTAACAGTCAAGAAAGTTTTGGGGAAAGAACAATCCCAAAAGAAAATTTGCTCTTGATAAGGTTGCCAAGACAACTAAATGGGGGAAAGAAGAATTGTTTCAGGGTGACGCTGTGGCTCAAAGGAATGGGGTGCCAACCCATATGCCAGACGTGGCAGGTTCAAACCCAGCCCTGGCCAAAAACTGCAAAAAAAAAAAAAAAAATGTTTCAACAGATGGTTCTGGAACAACTAGATGTCCATATGCAGAAGAATGAAGGTGACTTATCGCTTAAGTCAAAATCAATTCAGGGTGGCACCTGTGGCTCAAAGGAGTAGGGCGCTGGCCCCATATGCCAGAGGTGGTGTGTTCAAACCCAGCCCCTGCCCAAAACTGCAAAAATATTAATTCAAAATGGATTAAAAAGCTAAAGGTAAGAGCTAACCTTGTAAAACTCCTAAAACCTAGGTGTAAAACTTCATGGTTTTAAATTAGGTAATAGTTTCTTGACATGGCACCTAAAGTATAAGCAACAAAGAAAAAAATAAGGAAAAAATAGGTATATTAGACCATTAGAAGTAAAAAAAAATTATACTTCAGAAGACCCAATGATGACAGTGCAAAGACAACCCACAAGGTGGGAGAAAATGATGGCAAATCACGTTTCTGATAAGGGCGGCTTTATATCCAGAGTTTATAAAGAACTCTTCCAACTTACCAATAAAAAGACAGTAACTCAATTAAAAAAACAGGCACAATATTTGGACAGGTCTGTCTTCAAAGATGGTACAGACAGTATGCACAGGAGAAGATACTCAACATCTCAGTCGGTAAGAAAATTAGAGTTAAAACTGCACTGAAATACTTCACATCCATCGGGGGCTGCAGTCAAAGAGATAAACAGTGACAAGGGTTGGGGGAAGGTGGAGAGCTGGAACCTCGGATATCGCTCGTGGGAATGTATAATGGTTCGGCTGCTTGGGGAAACAGTTAAACAAGAGAGTTTCTGTACAATCCAGCAATCCCACTTGTAGACGTGTCCCCATGTAGCTGTGTGTAGTGTATATTCAAGAGAGCTCGTGCTCATGCAAAAACTTATCATGCGTGTTCACTGCGGCATCACTCAGAACAGTCACCAGTGGAAAGAACATGTGTTCATTAACGGACAAACAGATAAGGAAAACGTGGTCTTATCACAGGGGAGGTGACTCAGCCACAAAGAGAAATAAAAAATTCTGCTGTGTGCTACAACATCACGGGACTTGAAAACCTCATGCTACGTGAAAGAGTCAGTCACCAAACCCATCTCTTCTGATTCCATTTATCTGAGATAACCAGAACGGGCAGATCTGTAGAGGCGGAGAGTGGATTAATGACTGCCAGAGGCTGGAGGAGAGAGGAAGGGGAAGTGGGTCCTAAGGAATGTGGGGTCTCTTTCTGGGGTATAGACTTGTTTTGGAATCACAGTGGGGATGTGTGCACGACAATGTGAATATACTAAAACCCGCTGATGGCAGGTGACTTTAAAAAGGTGACTTTTATGGTATGAGCATTTAATCTTAATTTTAAAGGAGAAAACTTGCTCCATCTGGTATCAAATGCCGTGTAGAACAACAGTAATTGGAACAGTGTGGAATTGGCACAGGGGCAGACAAACGATGTCTGCCTCGGTGGTGAGCACAGAGAGGACCACGTGGAGCTACAGCCATGGTGTCGGTTTTCAACATGTGCAGACGTAGCGTGTGACACCACAAAGAAAGGAAAGGTGGTGGGACAGCCCAGCCAGCGCTGATCTGCGGGTGCATGTGGGCGTCCATCCAGCCTCACACCTCCTCAAAAATAAAGTCCAGATAGACAAAGAGCCAACAGTAAGACGATAAAAATAGAAGAAAATAAAGGCATGTTTGTCACTTGAAAAAAAGCCACCTTAAGCTATGCACAAAAATGCAGGAAGAGAAAGGTGAGTCCATTTAAATACGTAAAAATCAGAGACTCTAAACAAAAGGCAGCGTAAGAAGCAATATTAAAAGGCATTTCCACATGATAGGGGGCAAAGTATTACTGTTCTGAATATGTAAAGAACTCCTAAAATCAATAAGAAAAAGTCAAACAAAATAATAAACACCCTTAGAGGCTCCTGTCACCACACTTGTGCTGACTTTCAGACGATCCCGGAATGGTGTCCTTCACGGATGACTGTGGCATTAACACTTCACTTTCCAGGGCTGGTTTAGGATCTGCTTGTTCTGTCCAGCACAGTCTCCCTGACTCCGCTAACTTAAGGGATCAGATGGAATCATGTGACGGAGGAAACACGTAACACGAGGAGAAAGGGGCTAAGATGATCTCTTTGTCACAAAGCAGAGGACAGGTGCAGTGGGACAGCCTGAGCCCTGAGCTTCCCAGCTTCCCCATAGAAGATGCAGGCCTTTCCCTGTGGGCCCCCCGCCATACAGCTGGCATTCGGAGGGCCGGAATGAGGAGTGTGCAGCCATTTCTTGCCAGTCAACACTTCACTGGGGCGGCAGCCTAACCTTTGTTCAACAATGAGGTTAACCTTGATTCTGGCCGATAATCTGTCTCCACTAAGGAAGTCTCGTGCTGTGGGGGGTTTGTTGTAAGCAGTGACGTTATGGAAGAACAGAATGCTGCGGGCATTTCACACAGGAATTTTCATCGTGGACTTGGAAGACTTCCTGTTTTTCTTTCCTGCTGAGATAGATGTTCGGCTCTCAGTTGGGTAATTCAGTGAGAGCCCTTCTCTCTTTCTTCACCTCCCCCTTCCTGTCGACTGCTGTCCTGTTTTCATAAGCCGTACACGTGGGCCTCATTCTAGTCCATTCCACAGTGCACTTAAATACCCCCTGCAGTTCCTCATCTCATTACAAAAGACAGTTTACATGAGGGGAAAATAGGGACATCTTGGAGATTTATTCCACTACTGGATTTTGTGAAACATTCTGCATTGGGCCTTTCCTGCAGGGTGTCAGAGAGACCAGAGTGGAGTAGGGTCCCCTTGAAAGCCCAGTTGATAACCTCCAAGTAAATCAGATATTCCTGCATGGATGATGGCAGGGTCATGTTGGGCTTCACATTAAATACTAAGACTGCTAGCACAATATTCTGGATAAAAGGAAATTCTCTCACTGGAGGATCCGAGGCACTTGGTTTCTTATAAGTGAGCAAAAAGATGTTGTTACTGAACCTGCTTTCTCCCTCCTCCCTGTAGGGTCACTGTTACTACCATGGGCACGTGCAGGGATATTCTGATTCCGTGGTCAGCCTCAGCACCTGCTCTGGTCTCAGGTAAGTGGCCCTGGCGATGGCGGCTCTGGGCTAAAGCACAGCCCCTGCAGGCAACCTCTGTCTTTCCCTGCCCACTCTGGGCCACTGAGAGTAAGTGATGCATCACGTCTGTGGCACCTTGGGGCCAGAGAGCGGAGGCCTCTCCTGACTCTTGCAAGAGCACGGCCACCCTGGATGTTGGCTTCCTGTCTGCGGCCCACTTCCAGTGCCGTTCTCAGGCCCAGCAACCCGCTGAGTTCTGGCATCCAGGCATTTTGTGAGTTATCTTTCATTTATGTGGCTCTGATGCTTAATGATTCTCAGTGTTAACATTGAAACTACTGGCTTAACAACGATTTAGAAGGGCCTCCTCTCATTAGGAAACAAAGTAAAGGAGCTGATTTGCAATGACCATGGTGAATCGGACACGGGCAGGAGTTGGGGGGCCGGGAGCTACTAAGCCCTGGGCACGTTGGGAGAAGAGGTGCCGGACAAGCCAACGCCAGGCTTTCCCAGCAGCTCCTGCCTTGCAAGTCACAGCGATTAGCCGCCAGGTGGCTCTTAGGTGCTCCCCAAGAAAACCATCCTGCCTGACATTCCCAGCTGCTTCAGCCTTTTTGCTGGATTTATTTACTGAGTTTGTGAACTAACCACTTGTATCCTTCAAGTCCTGGGTGGCTTTGTCCTCTATGGTTCTATGGGAGACAAAGGGGAAAAGGGCCAGCAAGATAGTAACCAGCCTGGGGGGTTGCGTTGCGTTTTGTTGCGTTTTGTATGTTGGGGGGAACTGGCATCTTCCCCAGTTCGGTCTGGGGCCACGGTGAGTGTGAATATGCAGGCAACACACACAGGGAACAGTAACTCGCACCTGCCAGTTTGTCCTCCAAGGTCACGGCCCTGATTCCCACTCCAATTGACAGAGAATGGGAGTCCCATTTCCTCACTTCTTCCTCAGTGTGTGGTATGTTTGATTTACTGATTATTGAGTATTTTTTATTGGAATCCAACAATATTCCTCTTTCCCCTGTACACCTGTCCCACTCAGACGAAAATGCAAGCTGGGGTGTCTCCCTCCCATCGTCCTCCTCACTCCTGTGCATGTGAACACAGTCAGGGACTGGGCTGTGTGTTTGTCTATTTTGGTAAAGATGAAATCACATCATACACACTGTTCTACAGCTTGCTTTTGTCACCTGACCCTGTTCCTCCCAGTCAATGAACATAAACCAAAGTTAATGAGCAACACACACAGCCTCTGCATACCTGTGTTATTTTTAAAGTATGTTGGTGTCCTGTGTATACACATTAGCACATCTTCCAGGCTGGGGACAGACTGGAGAGATGATGTGCACAGGGGCAAGGGCCCTGCCAGGCGCCTTCACGGGGACCCTGGTGACAGACGGCAGGGCTGGGACGAGGGTGGTGCTGTAGACATGTGAATGTCTAGAAACATTTTCAAGGGAGAGGCTGGTGCTGCCTTGGCTGGTGATCTGTGTCTCAGACACATGTCCTGAGTCAGCATGGGGGACAAGTCCCCAAGCAGAGTCCCTGCTCCTAGGGCTGCAGCAGAACTGTGCAGAGTGCTGGGGAGGACAGTGTAGAAGTGATGATTAGCACCCGGGGACACCTACTGAGCATTGGGAGCAGAGGTACAGGAGGGAGGAAGTGTCACCTAGGATGCATCATCTTGAGGGCTACAAGGGACGTTGCGGGGGGTCAGCCAGGTCTCTGCTGTGAGAGGAAGGAGAGAAGAACGTTTAGGAAGAGGTTTGAGCAGGGAGGGTTTGAGGTTGGACAGTGAGTCCTGAGCAAAAGTGCAGTGGGGAGGACAAGGGGTGAAGGGAGTGTGGCTGGGGGAGTCAGAGGCTGAGGGGTTTCTGGGCTGTGGCTCAGTGTTCGTGGATGCGTAAGGCTGGAGATGGGATGAGGTCAGACATGGTAGAGGCCAGGGTGAAGGCGAGTGACCAATTCAAGATGGGCATCCCGGACCCTGACAGCTGCAGTAGAGAACTGGCCGTGTGACGGTGGACAGGACACTGCACCTCTCTGAGCCATTTTCTTGGGTTTAAATGGAGATGAAGTCTCCAGCTGAGACAGGGGCTTTGACAATAATGCAGTAACCTATAGGAAAGCCCAGCCCTACACCACCTGCCCCCCATGAGCAGCCAATGGGAAAACCATCAGCTTCTTGAGCCGGTCTCATGTTCTTTGTGCTTGTGCTGTTCTCCTGAGTTAACTCCACGCAAACTGTGCTGCTCCTGGGGGAACCAGAGCAGAGAGACATGGCCTTGCAGCTAAGGGCCACACACACCCAAGGGAAACTCCATACTTTACTGCTGTGCTTGTCTGGGGCCTGAAAGATGCACCTGTTTGTTTAAAGGCCATGTATTGAAGGCTGAGTGTTTTCTGCTTCTAATTTAATATCAAGGTCAGTGTGTGCAAAGAAGAGAAAAGCTAATTCAAGCTGCTGAAAGAGAAGCAAAATAACAAGGAGGTTGAGTTAGGCTACTGGAAGGTCCAGGGCTGGCTTCCGCATGGATGGATCCAGGCTCCTACACCAGGGTCTTCTGCTTTCCATCTCTGTTAAATCTCATTCTCAGGTGCTATCTTAGCTTGGGCTGCCATAACGAAATACCACAGACTGGTTTGCTTAAATAATAGAAATTTACTTCTTACAGTGCTAGAGACTGGAAAGTACAAGATCAAGGTTCTGACAAGTTGTATTTCCCTCTGAGGCCTCGTCTCATGACTTGTCATCATCTTGGTTCGTGCTCACATGACCTCTCTGCGTATATGGAGAGAAGCACCTCCTGAGACCCTTGTAAGGGCACTAATCCCATAGTGGGGACTCCACCCTTGTAACCTTATCTGAACCCAGTCGGTTCCCAAAGGCCCCGTCTCCTGATACCGTCACATTGAGGGTTAAGGCTTCAACATGTGAATTTTGAGGGCACGTGAACATTCAGCTCATAATAGGCACAGTTTTGTTTGGGTTTTTGTTTTTGTTTTTGTAACAAAGGAGATGCCAGCAGCATGAGACGTCCCTCCCCAGAAAACAAGCAGAAGAACAGGGCCTCTCTTGTAAGCTCAGCTGAGGTGCCCTAGGCTCTGACTGGGTCATCAGCTCACCCCTGAAGCAATCAGTGGCCAGTGGGGAGGATAATGCTCTGCTTTAGCAGGTTCTGAGCTTACACCCCGGGCCAGGCCGAGGGGAAACTGCATACAGGGCCCCAAGGTCAGGGAGCAGGGAAGGGCGGAACGCCCCAAGGGATGGCTGTGAGCTTTTGCCAGAAAAAAGAACAGAAACAAACGGGCCTTCTCCCGCAGTGATTATGATGATTCTGCATCATCAGAGCTGAGACCAGCAGTAAATGGAGATACCAGGAGTGGCTGGATAATTTTTAGGTGACTTTTTTTATAGGGATATCAATTTTTTGATGGGTCAAGAGAAAAGGGTATCTACAGGATGTTCCCAGTAGTTCCTTTTTACATTAAATAAAGCAATTTATAGCAGTAACATTAATTCATTAGAGGAACAACTGGGAGAGTATCCCAGAGTGATATTCCAGCAGGACGGATCTGCTGCAGTGCTTGGCCGTGCCACTCAGTCACAGCTCTCCAGTTTTCCTCTAGGGCCTGTCCCGCTATCACCCTGTGCCAGGCATAATGCCTTAGCCTTGTGGCCCCCTACAAAGACACAGGTAACTGTCAGAGCCCCCACTTCCTCCTGCACAGCAGCCTCAGTCACGCTGGCCAGACTGCAGTGTCTGAATCTGTTTCCACCTCCCGTCTCCAGCACCTGGGCAAGTCTCCCTCCCCAGTGCCTGGCACAGACCCATAACGTGGCAAGGAGAAATATCGGGAAATGCTCGTGGCTAGGATTTCAGGGAGTAACAGAAGAGTAAGTGCTGCCTGGTCGGTGTCGACCACCAGGAGGGAGGGGGAACAGTGTGGGTGTAATGAGCTCCTCACTGCGGCGCTCCTGAGAATTTTGACTTCCCCGATCTTCGTGCTGTTGATACAGGAGCAGCAGACCGTGCATCAACAGAGAAATTCCCAAGTTATGCAGTCAACTTTATGATCTTGCAAAATCAGACCAGAGCAGGGAAAAGCTGTGTTCGATCAACTCCTCACCAGCAGAAGAATTGATTGAGACTGGAGAGAAAGGGAAAAAGCAACTAGAGTAGCACAGCCTGGCAGACGCTAAGGCAGAAAATAGGGATTAGAAATTATGTTAAATATGGTGCGCTCCAAAACACATTAAGATCCAGAAAGGCTGGAGGAAGCCGGAGCGTCCTAGGAGACACATTAATTAGGCCAAACAGATTCCAGTTTTGCAGAGAAAAAGCAGAGGGGGAACATCCTGTGTTGTTTCAAGAAGACTGGATCAAAAATGGGCAGGCAAGGAAAACCCTGACCCAGAATGGGGAAGAGGCGGGGGAACATTTGAAGCTGGAAGGGAAAAAGATAAGGGGAGAAAAAAGCATAAAGGTCCCAGGGGAGGGAACGTGGTGGGAAGGGGGGAAGCTCTTGAGTGAAGTGTAACCTGGACCTGGGTCATGAGGATGAGCTCAGCGGCAGAGTTTATTCCGACTTTAAGACGACCACAAGTCGACTGTGAAGCTCAGGCCATGCACTGATTCTGTGCCGCACCATCGTCTCCCCACCATGGGTTCCAGGTTTCGTGACTCTCCTCCCCTGTAGGGCTGGTCCCCTCTCTGCTGTCATGGCTCAGTGGCCCCTGTCATATTGCTGTGCGTGCATCCCCACTGATTCCAAGCACAGAGACCCTGAGGGTCCTGCTCCCTCAGCAGTAATGCTCAGCACTCCATCGTAAACCCAGGTCTGCCTCTGCTTTGTGTCTGTTCCACTAAACCTCTTGCACAATTTGGATCCAACCTCCTTTTTCAGCCCCTCCACCTTCCTCCCTGAGGAGGGCACTGAACTCCCACCACACTGCTTTCTAGCGGTTTCCAGAGCCTCCCCACACTATGCCTTGCTGACTTCATCCCTCTGCCTGG